AATTAACGATAAAGTAATTTTTTTATTGATAGCTATGAGCGAATAATTTTTGGTATATTAACGGATTAAGAATATACAATATTACATGTATTTTTTAATAAAATAAAAAATTGATAAAACGTTAAAAATTTTTCTGTATTACATTTGAAAATAATACCAAAATTTTGGCGGCAATTTAAAACCTGGATTAAACATTGTTTTAATGAGAACTTATTTAAAAACAGTATAGCGATTAAAAAATAATTATTTAAGAATAAACTTCTAAGTAATAATTAAGAAAAATTTTCATTTGAACCACAAAATTATATTATTAAATATAAATATTGAACTGTTTCATATGTATGTAACATTTTATAAGTATAAATTTAAAATATAAATTTCTAATTTCAGTCGCTTTGTGTAAAGTCATACACCTGATGCGCGCATCCTTAATACTTAAAGAACAGGAAACAAGAAAGATTTCGCGAAAACGGAGTAGACACTCGCGTGTCTGAGACCGAGAGGTTCCCCGATTATGATCGTGGATGAGAGCTTAATCGAAAATTAATCCGACCCGCGCGCGGTGCTCGAAACTTTACGAAGGACACGATTCCATTATCGCGGCGGACCGCTTTTGGGTTATCTCGTACATGCCGTTCGCGAGATACGCTCGTTTCGATGTAAATTGAAAGCGGCGACGATCACCGGTCGGGTGACGATCACCAGTCGACGCGACCGCAAGAATAATTGCAAGATTAATCGGTCCCCATTTCGCTCGATAGAAATATCAGTATTCCATGTTTGATCTATCTTTTTTTTTTTTAATTTACGTTCTTTCAAGCTGATTGTACATCACGCCTTGCCTCGTCGAGATTAATCGACACGAGAACCCTTCCGGTAACGTCTTCCCACCTTTTCTCGTTCATTACCGTTTGCCCTGTAAATACGACGTTTTCTGAAAAGTGTTTGCTGAAAAGCATCGGCTAGATTTAATAAGCTTTCGCGTTCTATTCGTTAGGATTTTAACGAAGCTTTCATCCGACGCGGATGAAAAAAAGTCTTCTCCGGTGATCTCTTCACGAGTTGGATAAACTCCGACTGCTTTTTTTTTATTTTTTAATATTTTTTTTTAATATTTCGGTATTATATATGTTAGCATATTCTAAAGAACTTAAAGTTCCACTGGATTCTTTCCGCAGACTTTTATGATTATTATAACAAGCTGACTGATGTTAACGAAGTTTTTGATGTGGATCGACTCTTGGCCAATTAACGTCGTCGAGAAAGTCGAGCTCTTGCCACAACTGAGACAATTCCTGGGGCGCATTTCGCATTAGACTCGTCGAACGAGAAGTTTAAATAAATTATTCTTGAAAGTTACGACACAGGAAATGCCTCGCGAGTCTCGGAATTAGTATGCGCGCGTTTGCAACGAGAAGAGCGACCAACTATACATCAACATTAATACAGTCTTATACTTATAGAAATTCCAGATGAACTATTTAGACGACGATTCTTTTAACTATCTTGTTAAATTGGTATTAAACTCTGTAAGCCTCCAGTATTGTCATCGCAAATGTATTTTGTAGATAATTATCAGAAATTCACGAGGCTTTTTATATTTTCATTATATTTTCGAAATAAATAAAATAAAATATATACATCCCCTTCTTTTTTGCACTTTGTGATAATATCTAAACGTATTATGGAGGGTTGTGCGAGGATTTTGTTGATCAACCTAACAATCGACGGAGAAGTTCCGGAGATGTTTGCGGGATAATCGATCGAGGGAACATCTCGCCCGCGGCTGCGAGGGAGAAGGTCGGATAGCTCGTCGCCCTGATGAAATCCCCGAGAGCTCTTTTCATGCTAATAAGATTTCGTCGGTCGCGCCCAATGGATACGCGCCAAAGCGCGAGAGAAAGGCACCGCACCGTCGCCGTCGCGTTCGGCATGGAAGAGACACTGAGAGGAAGAGAAACGTACAAAGGGATACTGGCGCCTCGACAGCCGAACGGGGGAATCCCTCGACATGGTACTTTTGTGTTGGCGCTATAATTCGATATTTTGAGCGCGATGCCGCAGGTGAGAAAAATAACGAGTTTTCCTGTAAAAGGATTCAGGAACATGTGGCCTATCCGACGAAATTAATTATCAAGTCCACTTTCCGTCGATGAATAAAAAGTCGTCTAAACAGACGTATCTAACAGCTAAATTGCGCTCTCACTAGTGCGCACTCAATATTATATAGTAAAGGTACACAAATCAGATGTATTGAAGATGTGTGTTTAATATAAATATAAAAACAGATAAACCGAAGAATCAATACTTTTTATACACAGTGTGCTGTTTGATGAAATATATACTTTTTAATTCAAAGTATTTTTATTTTAATAGATTAGATCAGCGTATGACTTTATAAGCAGTTATTGCAGTCTAACCTTTTGTTTATTCTAGAGATTCTATCTCTAGCACTTAATTCGTCATCCTTTAGCGCTTTGTATTTTTGTGCTTATCAGTATGTTGTACAGAAAAGAAGATTTTATTAAAATATCTAAAAATTTAACTGGATACAGATCTAAAAATAAATTTGTTAGACCATCAAAATAATTATGTAGGGAATTCAAGAGTAATGAGCAAAAAATTTTTATATTCTAGCAACCAGTTTGAGCGTTCTACATAATTATTTTGGTACTTTATTGAAATTACTTTTACAGATTTATATCTAGCTAAATTTTTAGATATTTTAACAAAACCATTCTTTTCGTTATTTAACTTATAAAAGCGAAAACTAATAAAAAGCGAAGCTGTTGTTAAATTGAGTACAACAATTGAGTAGACGTCTTATAGCATTGGGAAAGTCTCGGCAGATGTGTAGCAGATAAATATTAGTTACACGAAATGTAGATTCCACGTGCGATTCCACTGATCGTTTAGTCAAGAATAGAAATGGATGACGTTCACGTCGAATGTCGCCTGATATTTTCCTGTAATCCGTCGAGGCTTTATCGCGAACTTGCACGAGTAAATCCGCGTCTTCCCTGATGAATGCCGACGCTGTCGGTATCGTGTGCATACTGCATACGCGATCGCATCCCATTTCGACTAGCACACATTGTCGTGTTAAATGGAAACTGCCGACGACGACGCGACGTGCGTTGGTCTCTGGTGAATTCGACGAAGTACACCCGTCCGTCCGCTCGATCGATCTGAAGGTATTGTCCGGTGAGGAAAGTCGAGAAATGAGGAAAATGATAAACGAGAACTGTGGGAACGATTCGCGATATTGCGAGACGATGCCGGCCGCATTCTTACTCGGTGTAAAATGATAAATTAAATCACAGTTATAAATGCGTGCCGGATTACAAGAATGCCATTTCTCTTCAATGTTCACCACAATATTAATCTTGAAAGTATTTTACATAAATGACTAAGAGATCGATTTTCGTGAAATAAGTTTCGAACTGTTTTACAAATAAAGATAGAAAAAAATTAATAAAAGATATAAGAAATAATATAAAATAGCTACTTTGGAATATAAAATATAAAATAGCTATACGGAATTTGAATATTTGACTTGTTCCTATTCACTGAAAAAAAATTCCTAAATAAATGTTTATTAAATATAAACATACATTATTTCTTTACTGCAAATAAATATTTATTTAAAAGAAGAAAGTTATACTTAAACCAAATGATGTGTGTTTACATTTAGTAAACATTTTTTTTTTCAGTGTAGAAAAGCTGTGTTTATAAATTAATTTAAATATTAAAGAATCTTTTAAACTTTTTAAATGTATATATTAATAATTTAATTGTATTAGATTTATATTAGAGACATATAGTGTAATGTTATTTATTTTATTAAATTCGCGTATAAATATTTTAAAATAGAAAATAATATTTTGAATCGTATTTATATTGTATTTATGTTATTTGTACATCATGAATGCTAAAATCAGATATGTTTGTTTACACTCGAGTTTAGTTTTCGAGATTTTCTCGGGAAGAAATAATGCTGTATGTTTCCTCTTTCACAGCGAAAGAAGAGCACTTTATGTCGTTATTGAACAAACAACGATATGTACTTAATTCGAGCTCGTTTATGAAAGCGTGACTACGCCTATGTATGGTATGCTCAATGTACAAACTCTCTACATATGAGAACTGTTTATCCATTGGAACCAGCGTGACATATCGATCCAACATCGAACGCTTCTGCTGTACATAATTCGTCTTCATTAGTCATCAGTACCTCTATCTATCTATGTACAGTTTAGTAGCATGTAATCTCTGTTTTGCACTACATACACAGAAACGCGTATATTATACATTGAGAAAAAATGTACTAAACTTTATCAAATATTTGTTTGAATAACTAAAACTAATATTAACTATAAATATTTACTTACAATAAATAAATATTTACTTAAAAAATAATACTTAGGTCGGTATTCAGATCTTATATTCAAGATCATAAGTATAGTCTTAAAAAGTTACAAACCAGAGAGCCGTATTAGCGTCTTAACACATTACTTAAGACAGTTTTGAAATAAGAACAGACTATGAATATCGCCCTTAGATTAATAGTTCTTGTATCGAATGAATATATGTTTTTTTATTTAATAAATATTTAGCTAGACTATTCAAACATTTATTAAAATTTATTTTCAGTGTATATGTACATTAACGTATAAAATAGAAATATATATCCTATATTTTTCATATATATTACATAATATATATTATTATATTTTTCAATATAATTAATTATACAAATTAATTTCTAGCACAATATGATTTTAGAACTTTATCATTTATAATTTTTTGTCTTAAAAAAAGTAAAATTCTTTTTATTCCAAATCGATCCATGTCTTTACAGTATTTTTTCTTTAAAAAAGGCAAGGTTGTTTTTATTCCATATCGATATCTTTATAGTCACCTTTAATACAAACGTCTACGTATCATGTTCTCTGAGTACCGCACGTTTCTTCACGTGTCGTGAATTTCTGCTGTTACAGACGGAGCTGTCGCAGAATCTACAGCAGCTGTCGGAGAGAGCCCGCTCGACAACGGAGTTCATTCAAAGGCTCAAAGGAATGACGGATAAAGTACATGTGAGTATGGGCGCGCCTTTGGTGCCCGTTTTAAATTCTGTGTCGACGGACGTGTCAACGCGGTACGGTGCCGTGAAATTGCGAAAAGATATGGCATTAATTACATCAGTTCTTTGATAGGAACCCGCCGTGCATTCATCTCTGATGGCCGAAGGGATAATTCGAATATACAAAGGATAGCTTACAATTGGTGAACCAAACTCCGAAAGCCGACATAGATTTTTTTTGATATAGCCTTCTATTTTCCTTTCTTTATGCACGGACATGCGTAATCAATTTGATATTAGATTTCTTGTACAATATCTATACAAACATTGTCTTCTACATTCAAATTATGTGTGTGCAAGTATAAAAAAAAATGTACGATATTTCTAAAGAAGTTAAAGTATCCAAAATTAAACTTGTTCCATGAAAGTAGATTTATAGAAAGATATTTCTAACAAAAAAAATTGCTACTGTATTTTTATAAAAATTAATTATTAGTTTTCCAATTTATTTTTCCAATTTTCTATGATAAAATATAAGTATTGAATATAATGATAGATCATAATTTCTTCTATACATTAAATATACATTAAATATACACGTTAAGTTCTCTGCCGAGAGAGTTTATCGTGAAATTCTGTCGCGTACAGATAAATATTGTATAAAGTAATATTGAGTAAAAGATATTTCGCGATATTAATCAAAGGGAATAATCCATTCCAGGAGGAATGCGTGGCGCTTGAGGAGGAGGTCGAAGATCGGGTAACGAACCTGGTGAGTCTTCTGCAAGCGAGAAAGTCACGGTTGATCGAAGCTGCTCGACAGACCAGAGAGGCCAGGGTGCGATCTTTGCGAGACCAGGTGGCGAGATGTGCCACGCACCTACAGGCGACCACGGCGTTGCTCACGTTCTGCATCGAAGCGCTGAAGGAGACCGACAGCGCGGCCTTCTTGCAGATCGGCGGCATGTTGTCAGTCCGAGCAGCGACGGCCGCCGGTTCCTGGGGCGGTGCCGAGGGTGTGCAGGAGATCGCTCGTTTGCCGTTGCTCGATCTTACCCTGGACGACAAACCGCTGCGCCGCGCCATCGATCAGCTCACCTTCGTCCAACTTAAACGTGAGTCCGCCGTGATGGGCGAATGTAGTTTACGTGATTGTGTAATGTCCGTGTGCGTAGATTGAACCTATCCGGTCATCCATCCGGCAATGATCGCGAATAAATTTTATCGTACGGACGAGTTCGGGTTTCTCGATAGCAACTACGTCGCATTAAGACGAAATGAGAAATGACATGAATTTTTACTCACAGGGTACGTGAAGCAAATGAGCTTTTTGCACGCTACCATTTCCGCTTGATCGATTAGACTTGTATAACGCTCTGGTATACATGTTTCTTTAAAAAAAAAATAAGAAATCGATATTAAATTTGAAATTTATGCTTGGACGAACGAGAAACTTTAACCTTTTACAACTTGAACTAAATAAGATGTTCCGGGATAAACCTGTAGAACTTTGCTGTTGATGTTATTGATTTCATTGCACTTCCAAAGTACAGCTTAATTAATTGCTACGGAACTCAGTCAAAGTATCGTAGATCTATCGCGTGTACTAAAGAGGAAGTTACTTAGGAGCCAACGTGATTAGAGCTAACCAATAGATAATTTCATTGCAGAAGCACATATCTGTGTAGTTTGATAATGAGATACATTCAATTCTCTACGATATACATGCTTACTTGAAATATCTATAACACGTAATGTCATACAATAAATAAAATGAAATAAGAATCTTTGAAAAAGAAATTATAAAATTAAATTAAAAATAGAGCCAATAAAAGTTTAATGCACAGTTATATTATATAAAATAATAATCAATACACAATAATTAATTGAATGTTCGGCTCAAATTTAAGTCATCTTCAATAAACAGTCGTACCTACGAATGAAAATATAATTTAAATCATGGAGATTTCGTTTCACGTTTTAATTTTGAAAAAAATAAATTCAAAAGTGAAATTCAAGTGATAAATTCAAAAATTGATTACAAATAAAGCTAAGTAATGACAATAATAAAATTAGATTAAAACTAGGAGATTAAAAAAATATTGCTTAAGATAAATCTTCCCCAAATAACCTTTGACATTAAAAATATGTATCATTCAAACGAATAGCATATGTTTTAATAATTTAATGATTTTGCAAACATTTTGTGAAAGACTTTTTCTTTGAAAAGTCGCCGCGACAGTCGTTTGAATAAATCAGATATTTCTTCGTCATGATAGTTCGTAAAACATCTCGTTGGCTCAACGTCCTCGTCGGAAACTCATCCGCTTAGTTCGTTACGCGAACTGAATTGTTCATGATGGTTCGTCGAATTCTAGCTCGCATTGCGTACCTACGTTATATACCCGCGATAAAACAACGAGCGTAAAAGCGGTGTAAACTCGTTCGAAAGATGACTTTGTGCACGCTTAATTGACTCGTAGCTTCTCGTTCCGCGACTACCGGGATTTTGTAGAGCGATTTATCTTTACGAGACCGCGCTGATCGCGCAACTTTGTACAAGTCTTGTTCGTTGATAGTCGTTTACCTCTCAAATCGGCGAAACGGAGGTTACACACGCTACTGTGAGCTTCGACTTTCTTGTTATTACGTAACTCCTGAAACGACTTGCAATGACAATTACAGTTCTGTTATATAGATTATTTAGATTAGCTGCAATTTTATGCTCTGAATCACACGATTCATATCTTGTCTTTATTAATCAATTTTAAGATATCTGCAGACTTGATAATAGTTGCGTGAAAGGAATAATAATTTTTTACTCGAATTAATTAATAGATTGTAAATTAACAGAGCGATCAAAAGTGAAGGTATCTGATATTCCGATAAGAGACTTTCGAGCGAGTTTTGTTTGACGTTGTGTTTGCATGCGATGTATGTAAATGGATACAAATATTTTCACCGATTATAAATCATTTTACTGTTGGACGCAGCGTCAGAAGGGGAAGAGCGATTTCCTACAGCAGGTAAAGGAAACTCAATAAACGCAGTTGTAGACATATATTTAAATATTAGTGACACGGGAAAGGAAAAAAGAGATGAAAAAAAAATTATTAAGAGATGAAGGAGGCGTCAATCTCACCCGCCAAAGTAGTCTAGACGGCTGAGAGATGACGAGGGGAGAGAGTAAAGGGGGTCTGCTTAATAATTTTACGTAGCCCCCGGCAACGACTCCTTTAAGCATGCCTCCTTGCTCGCCATGGCTTTGCCGTACACTAAAACGTTTCAAAAGCGGATTAATTAGGTACCGGCTTTGCAGTAACTGCTATAACGATCTGGAGGTATTAACTCGTTACAAGGAGACAACCTCTCCTTACTGTTCACTGGGTATACACGGTTCTCCATTGATTCTGGGTGTTACGGACCGATGTCAGATCGGAAAACGTTAATCACATCTGATTAACGTGTTTACAGATGTATGGATAACTTAATAACGTACGGAGAAGGGAGTCACAAGACAGACGCATACTCGAAATTCAATTCACTCGAGTGGCAAATAAAATTATCGATTTCGTCGACTCAATTTGACGATGGAATCAGCCCAGAATTGGTCAAAGCACTCGCCATTAAAATTAAGGATATCACGTGCGGGAAACACGTTGTATTCGCTCATTATTTTAATAAATTTACAACCGCGCGTTCTGATTGAAATTAGGAAAGGAGAGTTAATGAAAAACAAATCTATTTAACGAAACCCGATAAACGACTATCGTCGAGAAAGGTATAAACTCGCTTCTCTATCAAGACATTTCACTTTCGTGGAATCTTGATACAAATCGTACGGTGATATCGGAAAGTTTCTTCATTACTCGCAGTTTGCTCGTCAAAGAGTGGCACGCCTCGGTTCGTTAAAATCTGCGATCGGCAGTCACACGGAATTTCATTTACTTAACCCGGCTTTGCAAATAGCAAAGCGAGGAATGTGCCCCGTGGAAACTTTCAAGTTCGCGGGAATTCCGTGTAAAGTTTCCAACGAAATCATTCGAGCGCGTTTCCCAGAATCTAACGAATGTAATACATTAGAAAAGTATATGCATATTTCGTTGGACTACGAATTTCTTTTTTCTATTAACTTTTTCAAGCACAGGATTTTACAACAAAAAATGTCTTGTAAATTATTTTTATAAAATGTGACATAAAGTTTTATTTTAATTATTTGTGGAGAGAGAGAGAGAGAGAGAGAGAGAGAGAGAGGAGATACAATATTACACAAAATAATAAAAAAAAATAAATTTCATTTATGTTATTAATTAATTATAAGAAGGGATATATTCAAGCCTGCCACATGTAAATTTCTGTTTCGAGTAATTTCATGATTTAAATGTGGGATGAATAATGTCCACGTTCAAACAAGAAAGAAGGACATTCTTTATATCACAATCCTTCAAAGAGTTAAACACATATATAATATTGATATTTGACACGGTCAGTAATCCTTTTCTTCCGAAGTTTTTTAAGAAATTTTATTTTTTAAATTTTATTGTGTGTAAAAAAGTTACATGTTAATGAACTTTGAGAAAAATCGAATAAAAATGAGTAAAAATGAAATTAGTGGCGAGTAACTCATTATTAATTTTCATAATTATTTCGCACGAAGCAATAAGATGAAAATGAGAAAATCTGTGATCGCAGTTGTAACAGCTGCTTAGTAGTTTACAGCGATGGTGAACGGTGGGCAAAGAGAAAATATGAAATTCATTTTCGTATTTTACGAGGCCATTACGTGCGCGCGCCCAGCGCCATTTCGATCTCGGTGGAGTGAACTTAATCGAACATAAAAATTCCTTCATATTGAGACGAGGGAGAGACAAGCAATCGACGATCAACGACGATAAGTCCAGTTCCTGAACAGGTGCCCTGCTTTCTTAAATTTTGACTTTATTGCGGTTTTAACTTTAGTGCGATCGTCAATATCTCGAGTTTTACGACACGTAAAATTGTTGAATTTTTCAAGCCGTTGCTAAATCTCGTTATTATCTGCCTCCGTGGATTTAAAGGTGACCGGACTGCTCTGAAGTTAAAAATTTGTCGCTGCAGAATTTGTGTGACTCATCGTATTTCATTTTATAGCGCGGTGCACCGATTATGAGCGCGAATCGTTATTGCCTGGTAAAATGTTACGTTTATGTCAATGTCGTAAATGTAATATAAATTTATTATAAAATGTAAAATCACTTTTTGGAGTGAAATTTAAAGTGTACAAAATTTAAAGTCAATTTTTCCAATATTTTTGGCAAATCAACTTAGTATTCTGCATTATTTGGTCGATAGATTTCTCTCCATAGCGCCGCTGTAGAAAAGGAGAACGAAGAATCGGTCTAGACATCGAGCGAAAAATTAAACGCAGACTTGTCGTGGACGAGGCTGACGACCGTACAATGCGACGTTCCGTACGCATGTCTCGTCAAGATAACATGGGTAAACGGGAATTTTACCTCCTCAACGCCGGCAGATTAATTCGCTCATTAATTTATATGTTTGCGATGATACAATCACGCTCTATCGTCAACGACTGTTCTTTTAATAACAACTGATTCTTTTAGCGCCCAAATTCTATTGTCATAGTGACTATAATACGTAACTTTTAATGCGAATATTTTATTCAAAGGATGTTTAATTAAATTTCTTTACATAGATAGATGCATGAGATATAAAACTTTATCATAGGGTGTCTTAAAACAAATATAACGCTATTTAGAAATATTTTTTTTCTTCTATACTTAATCTAAAATAAATCAGAAATTAAAATAATAATATACATTGTATATGTATAATTTCTAATTTTTATTTAAATATGAAAACAGTTTCTTTTTTTTATTAGAAAATTCTGTACTTTTTATTTAAATAATTAACTCTTCAGAATCTTACGAGTTCATTGTATAAATAATATATTAATATATGTATATAATACTTATGTATACTTATATATACATAATAATATGTATAATAATATATATAATAAATTTCATACAAAATTCTGAAGAGTTAAATAAAAATTTAATGAACTTCATAAGTTAAGCCTGCCAGTTCCTTTTTTTTTATCTGATTATAACTCTCATAATAACGAAGAACTAGAAAGAAATATGTTATAGGCAATAAATACATCTATCTGCGAATATAATATAAGGAAAAGAGAACTGTGTCGTACCGTATCGAACTCAAATAAAAAATCGAAGGTTCCCAAGAGTTTGAAAGAAGTTTCTCGCGTGCAAATAATTGTCTCGCGTTTTGAGAAAGTGCCAAAGTGAACGTGATTATTTCAAGAATGCTTCTGCGCTTGGAGTGAAGCGTGAAAGATCGTCTTCTGCGAACTTCGTCAAGATCTGTCGAGTCTCGCGAGAAGACCATTTTTCGCCAAGTCAAGAACCGTCCGTCCTTTGCGAAGTTTATTTTCACCTGTCGCTAAGTTTTATCAGCAAGATATATTTCGCACGCGATACATTTAAACGGGCTATCGGCGCATTCTCCGCTTCGTCATGACTCTCTCTCTTTCTCTCTCTCTCTCTCTCTCTCTCTCTCTCTCTCTTCTCCACTGTATAATCCTTATCGGTGCATTTTTTTTCACGTTTTCCTCACAAAGTGAACAGAATGAATGAGAGAGAAACAGAGAGGGAGAGAGAGAGAGAGAGAGAGAGAGAGAGAGAGAGAGAGAGAGGAGGAAAAGTGAGAGAGTCTGGGTACGTATCGAATATCGGCGCGGCGTGGCGCGACGCGTCTCGCGCCGTTCGATAAATCATTCCGATATGGGCATAAAGTTTCGTCGGTGTGTCGATTCACATCGAACCCCATTGTAAAGCTGTAAAAAGAGCGATCGTAACAGTTTTTTATCCGCGTTGTTTCCACGCGTCTCTGTCGAGACCGCGCCGCTCCTTCGAAAACGGAGATCTTCGAGTCACTCGCGTGCACCTGTTCTGCCCATTAATTTCCACTTTTACGAGCACACCCTCGTAAAAGGATGATCGATATTTCACGTGTTCCCTCGCGACTTTTTTTAGCTTTAATTGACGCCGCGGTAACCATTACGCTTCTCGCTTCGTCCGGATTTTTGTCATTATTCGGTCGAATCGTAAACGTTACAAGCGCAATATCGGTTCTCTCTCTCTGAGTTTGTTACGCGACGATCTGTTTAAATTTCACCCTCCATCATCAATGTGAAATTTTCACCCTTCGTCTGCAACTTTGAATTTCAATACAGAATTTTATAATATATTATTCCAAACTGTATATTGAAAAAATTTTTATATTGTGAAAGTTTTAATAAGTTTTTAAGTTTTTGTCATTTTTATTATCATAGAAGTTAGATGATATTTGATTTATTTTTTACAGATTTAAATTTAACTATCAAAATTCATAATAAAAAAAAATCGATTGTGCTTTTAACTTTAGAATCCAACATTGCGAGTAGAAGATTAATTAAACGTTAACAATAATAATTTTAATTAACCTTTATTGTTAGGCTGTATTAGTTTCTTATATGTTCGTCATTAGAAATAATATCAAAGAAATTATTATTCACGCTGGCTAATATCTAGAGATTATGAACTCGCACGTTTGATAGCGCCGACATAAAATCCGGCGAAATCCGGGATAATCGATTGTAATGTCGACGTCATTGAGCGACGGAGCGTGGTGCAACGGAATTTACCGTGTGAACGGCTCCATCGAGGTTCCATGTCGGATTACACGAGTTTTTGGATCGCGATAAGCGGTGTAACCGGAAGAGAGTTTATTCTACGTCGCGTTGCTCTTTTCCTATTTGACATAAACGACTTTTCTCTCTTCGATTTTCATCATGTCGCATGTCACGCAAATTATACGATCCCACTTAACACCATCCCGAAAATTACACTTCAAATTCTTATATCGCAATTTTTATAATTTTTTTATCTGCAAATTTTTTGCATTTTAACTAGAAAAGCTATTAGCTTTATTAAGCTCTCGAATTGTAGCGAGATGTTTAACCTGG